ATTATTTCTATTAATATAGAAAATCTCTAAAATATGTGAAATGACAAGCCATTTCCCTAAGTACAATTGGTTGCTATTGTAGATCCTTCTGTCCTCAAACTATTCAGCATCACTTCCTTTTAGTGTTCAGGAGCAAATAATGTCAATATGTATGTGTATTTTGACTTTTCACTAAATAGTGACAAAGACATCTTCTGTTTCTCAAAGCTTCACATCTATTGTCCAAGTAAATTTTATGGTGGCCAAGGCCAAAGTTTATGGGAACAGGGATAGATATTCCACACCTAGCATCACATATACACATATATATATTTTTTCTAGACTTCCCTAAAAGAAAATATAATTTGGAGATAAAAACTATATTGATTAACGAAATAGTTTCAAAACTCACAAAAGGGATAAAATACAACCATTGATTTTACCATTTTGCTATGTGATATGAATATCAGCAACTAGTATGAATACATATCATACCAATGACATGGGTCATAATTTCAAGTTTAACTGAATTTATTCCTTTCTTGTTACCTTATTGTCTTTGGAGTACACTAGTTTTATGATTCTTTTATTTATATATATGAATATATAGATATATTTCATGTGTACTAATATTCTGTCCAATTTTCTCATTGTTTCTATTTTCTTTAATTATGTAGGCATCTTTTTGTAAAGAGGCACATACCAGAAAACCATCTCTACTTTATGCATTGTGGAACACCTTTAAGTCTGCCCTGATTCAAGTTGCTTTATTCAGAGTTTTTGCTGATATTTTGTTTTTCACTAGCCCACTCATAATGAAGTAAGTTGAAATCTTGTGTGTTTGTTTTCCTTCCTACAGGTAAATGAGAAGCAAGTGTTCTACTATAAAAGTTCTACTAAAAAAGAGTGAAGAATGTCCTTATTGTGAATTTTATTTAGCATATGGGTATTCTATTAGGGTTGTCTATGATATGAATGGGGATTATAGTAATGTGATCAATATTTGTTGAAGCCAACTATGTATTAAGCATTGTTCTAAAATCTTATATTAATTGTATTAAGTCACAGTTCCCCAGAGAAACAGAACCAATAGGGTATATATAGATATATAAAAGGGGATTTATTATGAGAATTGGCTCATGCAATTATGGAGGCCAAGAAGTCCCACAATCCTGTGGTCAGCAAGATGGAGACCCAGGAAGTCTAGTGGTGTAATCCAGTCTGAGTCTGATGGCCAGAGAACCTGGAACTCTGATGTCCAAAGGTAGGAGAACATGGATGTCCCAGGTCCACAATAGAGTGAATTTGCCCATTCTCCACCTTTTTGTTCTATACCCTCAACAGTTTGGATGAGTCCCTATGGCCTGTGATGTATTTTATTCAGCCTACTAATTAAAATGCTAAACTCTTCTAGAAACACCCTCCCAGACACATCCAGAAATAATGTTTTACCAGCTATCTGGGTATCTCTTCACCCAGTCGAGTTGATACAAAAAATTAACCATCACATTACTTATCTTTAAACATTCCTATGAAGTAGGAAGCATTATTACACTTATTATTACAATGCAGATACAGAGACAGAGAAGTTTCAGTAATTTTCCCAAGTCTACATGGCTGGAAAGAACCAGAGTGATGATTGAAATCTGGGAAGTCTTACTCAAATGTTATGTTTAG